GTCAGATTAGACAAATAACAAGATATGTTTTTTTTCCATTTTGTTCAGAGGGTAAGATGCTCCATTTAAAATAACTTCAACTTTTTTTTTTTACCAGAAAGACCTGTGCATTCACAACAGCAGACTGGTCTGATTTTTCTTATCTTGTTCTTGTGTGCATCACTGGTTTCATTTCAACCCGTGGCCAAAGGAGGAAAACCTCTTCAGCAGTTCTCGAAATTACACTTTGCTCCTTTCATGGAAACTGCAGTCAAAAATTGAAAATTTCAAAGAACTTTGGGTTAGGGCTTAATTCTCGGTGAAAAGGGCTTCACTTAGCATCAGTAACATATTTTTCTGAGTGCATCTGCACCTAAATGAGAAAAAGACCTTTGGTCAGTTATAGGTTGAATATTGTCTGGCTCACTATAGGAGGCTGGCTTAGAGGGAAACTGATCTCAGTTGTGCTTAAACAGTTTTTTTTTTTTTTTTGTTTTTTTTATGAACAGTGGATACAAAGAAGATGGAAAACTGGTGCATAGTCACTTTTTCCCTTCTTCCTGATTGTTTAAGACCTGGTTAAACATTTGTGTGAAGAAAAAAGGTGAGAACTTCCATGAGTAGTGATGTCCAAATTGAAGGATCCTGATATAATCCCATCTATTTGTTTCTCATCCAAAGGAGTGGGCTTTTTTCCCCCTCAAATTTCTGCCCATAAACACATCTACAAATAGAGACCAGGAACTAAACATTGTCTACCAGGAAATGTTTCTAAACTTGCAGGAGAAGTTTGGAGATCTTTGCTCTCCAACATGTTGGAGCTCTAGGAAATTTCTTAAAGATGAGAAAATTAAAACTGGTGGTTTTTGGTCAGGAGATTCTTTCGATCTTCAGACTATGAATCAGCATCTTAAGAAGCAAGAGGAAAAATAGAAGCTAAATGAGCCGAGATCTACTCCAAGCTTTAATCAATTTAAATAAGTCCCCATCATTCAGTTTTTATCACCCACTTGATATTTACGCTGTAGAAATTGAGTCTCTTTTAACTTACTATTGAACCTTCCTGATCATAAAAATATAGAAGCCTGAAACCGAGAGATTTGTAGTTTGGAACGTTTTGGACACTATATCAGCTCCTGCGTTACAGGTTTGTTGTTTCTTAATGCTTCAGGTGGAGGCTAGATTAGGTGGCGAGCCTTCCTTTGAAAGAGGAAGTCTTTAATCTGTCATTCTTGGATTACAGTAGCTGGTTGCTGTTCATGTTGTGACCCCACTATCCTTTTCTTTCCTCCCATCGCTGCAGGACACGGAGCAGTGGGAGAGGTCGGCGTTACGGGTCGCTGAGATCGCATCAGCCTTGATCGGGGACAGGAACCCTGCCTTGGTGGGACAGCTCCTGCAGGCATGAGAAGAGGAGTCATCAACAAAACAACTGTTATTCTTAAACTGGATTATTTATATTATCTATCATCTCTTAAATACTGAATCAGGTCTGGAGGAGTTTGGTAAATTACTGATTCCATGTCGATAGAAAAGGTTATTTTAGCCTAAGATGGGATTACATGCAGTTGTATCTCCTTTTAGGAGTTCAAAAGATAATATTCAGATAAAATGAAAAATAAAAAAGATTTTTTTCTGTACTTGTGAAATACTTCCTTATTTTTTTTAAAGTGACTAATAAAAATGTGAAGAAAAACTTAATTTTTTTCTGTTTGGTAAAAACTTCTAACCTGACAACAGCCGGATGCATGTCTCGCTTCGCCTACTCACTATGTGAGTGGAGCTAGGCGGAGCGAGACATGCATCTGGCTGTTGTCAGGTTAGAAAACTTCTACTTTCTCAGAAATTTAAGCGTTTGGCATTTGTGTCGATTTATTATGTAGTGCCTCCTATAAAGGCAGGGTCACAACAGTTAGGTACAACTTTTTAATCTCCGATTTTTTTCCATGTCACACTGACTGTACAGAGGCTCAGACTATGCAGGGTGAGAAGATCCCATTCTGTGCAGATTTTTTTTACTTTTCTCTGTGCCCCACATTTGTCTGGGAAAGATTATAAATGTATATGTATATATATATATATCTATATATATATATATACATATATATTTATATACAGTGCTCAAAAAAATAATGGAGCAATTTGAAAACACATCAGATCTCAATTGGGAAAAAAATCATGCTGTTTATTTATACTGATATGGACTGGGTGATGTGTTAGGAACAAAAGGAAGCCACATCATTTGATGGAAATTAAAATTATCAACCTACAGAGGGCTGAATTCAAAGACACCCCAAATATTACAGTGAATAAATTATGCGACAGGCTAGTCCATTTTGCTGAAATTTCATTGCAGCAACTCAAAATGTTATTCAGTAATTTGTATGGCCCCCACTTGCCTATATGCATGCCTGACAGCGTCGGGGCATGCTCCTAATGAGACAACGGATGGCGTCCTGGGATATCTCCTCCCAGATCTGAACCAGGGAATCACTGAGTTCCTGGACAGTCTGAGGTGCAACCTGACGGCGTCGGATGGATTGAAACATAATGTCCCAGAGGTGCTCTATGGGATTTAGGTCAGACAAGCATGGGGGCCAATCAATGATATCAATTCCTTCATCCTCCAGGAACTGCCTGCATACTCTAGCCACATGAGGCCGGCCATTGTCGTGCACCAGGAGGAACCCAGGACCCACTGCACCATCATAGGATCTGACCCCTATGCTGCCCCTCTAGAGCACCTGTTGATAATTTCATTAAAACCAAAGCAGTTAAAACTGATTAACAACCCCCTCTGCTACTTACCTGACCAGGTGCTGCACTCTGATTACAAAGTGTTCCTTTAAAGCTGCAGTCTGTTACATTGAGAAGAGAGCAGACTTCNCCTGAAACCGAGAGATTTGTAGTTTGGAACGTTTTGGACACTATATCAGCTCCTGCGTTACAGGTTTGTTGTTTCTTAATGCTTCAGGTGGAGGCTAGATTAGGTGGCGAGCCTTCCTTTGAAAGAGGAAGTCTTTAATCTGTCATTCTTGGATTACAGTAGCTGGTTGCTGTTCATGTTGTGACCCCACTATCCTTTTCTTTCCTCCCATCGCTGCAGGACACGGAGCAGTGGGAGAGGTCGGCGTTACGGGTCGCTGAGATCGCATCAGCCTTGATCGGGGACAGGAACCCTGCCTTGGTGGGACAGCTCCTGCAGGCATGAGAAGAGGAGTCATCAACAAAACAACTGTTATTCTTAAACTGGATTATTTATATTATCTATCATCTCTTAAATACTGAATCAGGTCTGGAGGAGTTTGGTAAATTACTGATTCCATGTCGATAGAAAAGGTTATTTTAGCCTAAGATGGGATTACATGCAGTTGTATCTCCTTTTAGGAGTTCAAAAGATAATATTCAGATAAAATGAAAAATAAAAAAGATTTTTTTCTGTACTTGTGAAATACTTCCTTATTTTTTTTAAAGTGACTAATAAAAATATGAAGAAAAATTTATTTTTTTCTGTTTGGTAAAAACTTCTAACCTGACAACAGCCGGATGCATGTCTCGCTCCGCCTACTCACTATGTGAGTGGAGCTAGGCGGAGCGAGACATGCATCTGGCTGTTGTCAGGTTAGAAAACTTCTACTTTCTCAGAAATTTAAGCGTTTGGCATTTGTGTCGATTTATTACGTAGTGCCTCCTATAAAGGCAGGGTCACAACAGTTAGGTACAACTTTTTAATCTCCGATTTTTTTCCATGTCACACTGACTGTACAGAGGCTCAGACTATGCAGGGTGAGAAGATCCCATTCTGTGCAGATTTTTTTTACTTTTCTCTGTGCCCCACATTTGTCTGGGAAAGATTATAAATGTATATGTATATATATATATATCTATATATATATATATACATATATATTTATATACAGTGCTCAAAAAAATAATGGAGCAATTTGAAAACACATCAGATCTCAATTGGGAAAAAAATCATGCTGTTTATTTATACTGATATGGACTGGGTGATGTGTTAGGAACAAAAGGATGCCACATCATTTGATGGAAATTAAAATTATCAACCTACAGAGGGCTGAATTCAAAGACACCCCAAATATTACAGTGAATAAATTATGCGACAGGCTAGTCCATTTTGCTGAAATTTCATTGCAGCAACTCAAAATGTTATTCAGTAATTTGTATGGCCCCCACTTGCCTATATGCATGCCTGACAGCGTCGGGGCATGCTCCTAATGAGACAACGGATGGCGTCCTGGGATATCTCCTCCCAGATCTGAACCAGGGAATCACTGAGTTCCTGGACAGTCTGAGGTGCAACCTGACGGCGTCGGATGGATTGAAACATAATGTCCCAGAGGTGCTCTATGGGATTTAGGTCAGACAAGCATGGGGGCCAATCAATGATATCAATTCCTTCATCCTCCAGGAACTGCCTGCATACTCTAGCCACATGAGGCCGGCCATTGTCGTGCACCAGGAGGAACCCAGGACCCACTGCACCAGCATAGGATCTGACCCCTATGCTGCCCCTCTAGAGCACCTGTTGATAATTTCATTAAAACCAAAGCAGTTGAAACTGATTAACAACCCTTTCTTCTTGCTTTTGTTTTAATGTAAATATTCAGAGGAATCAAATTTGGGGTTTTCTGGACAGAAAGCTGTAATCCTTAAAATTAAAAGAAATGAAAAAAGTTTAAATTTCTCTGTCTTTGTAAGGAGTGTGTATAGCTGATATTTGAGTTGCTTTGAATTGTCTAAAAACGAAACAAAAAGTTTTCAAACCTATTTTTAATCTCTTGAAGCATTATAAAACCAACAGATAACTGTTGGACACGCTTTAATCTGGCTTTTTCAACTAAAGTAATTTCTCTAAAGTAAAAAAGGCTGAAAAAAAAAAATCAGAGAAAACTAAGGCCCATAATTGTTTTCGAGCGTGACTATTTTCAAAGGAAACTATGCTTTAGTTTTCCTCTTCATGCAGAGTTTATTATGATTTTCAGCAGCTAATTAATATGCATTTTGTGTGTTAGCTCTGACTGCAGCAGAATGGTTTGTATGGAATAGGCTGAAATCAGCTACAGGGTGTTCATTGTGATGAAGGCATTTGTTATCACTTGATGCAGAGATGTGACTCTTTGATGTGTGTCTAATGGGTTCTGGAGAGAAACAGAATGCTGCGATACTGACAAATAACAAATATGTCGAATTCTGGCAACAAATGTAATGTTTTATTATTCTGTTTTTTCTTTTCTGGATCTAGTTGGAAGTCTGATAGTTGCAGTGGACCTCCTTCGCAGGCGCCCTTCAGCAGAGTAAATCTCTGATGCATAACAGGAGGAATTTGATCTGCAGAATGCGTAAATACCACTGACTTAGCATTGGATAAAGCTGCACAGCAGGAAAATAGATGCATTAACTATTTCAATAAAAATTCTCCTATAGTAGTTATCTTTTTTTCTTAAACAGAAACACTTAGCTACATATTTAAGTTAGTTTTTTGAATGAGATACATAATGAAACAGTATTTTTTTTAAATTAAATTATTATTTTAGGCAGTAAAAAAATAAAGTATATTGAAACACAGTTTACTAAAAATATCTTACATGTGTTTTACTGTATACTAATTCCCCTCATCCTATCTAGCTCACGAGTCACAGAAAATAATTTGCGATCTTCTAACTTTCAAAATAAAATCACAAATATTTTGATAGTAATTCTCTTTGGGCAATAAAGATTCCTTCACACCATATGAAACAAGTTCATATTTTATTGCTATAATGTGGGAGGCTGCAATAGAAATATACAAATAGCTTATGTCTTTCACTTTTATTTTGTCATGCTTGCTGTCATGGTGATGAAATTAAATGAAAAAAAATCCTTTAGAATTACTGTAAGATATAGAAATTAAGTGTATTCGTAGTCCATCATTTTCTGTCACTTTGTTTTGATGTGTGCTTCTGATGGACCCTCATGCCATTGCTCTTCATATATATATATATATATATATATATATATATATATATATATATATATTTTTTTTTTTTTTTTTTTTTTTTTTTTTTTTTTTTTTTTTTTTTTTTTTTTTTTTTTTTTTTTTTTTTTTTTTTTTTTTGCTGAAGTACTCATGAAGTAGATCAAGCATTTAGTTTTCTTCATCAGGGAAGACAAAGTCTCTGCATAGTGTTGCATGAGATTACTTAGAAAACTTTTACTTTTATAATGTTTTAGTAGCAGTTATTTTAACGCTCAAGCAGTGATGCTCATGTGCTTTATATGTGCTGTGTGACAATGTTGCACTAAGTTTTCATCATATCCCAAAAAATATTCCGCAGTCTGGTTCAGATGAATCAAACTCAGGATGCTGTAGTGATAAACGCACAGGAAGGAGATGCTGTAGAACTTAATACTATATTTTTTGTTGCCACCTATTTCTGAATTATGTGATGCACTAGTAAGTTTTAAAATAGAAAGTGGAGTTAATTTGTAGTTATTTAATAAATAGAGGTGTTTTTTTTTTTTGTGTGGAAAAACAGGAAACACTGTCTTGAAGGAAAAAACTACCGCAAAACCATGTTGGGATTCAATTGTAGCAACTTAATTATCTGGGACGA